ACGACGTAGACGACGACGACGACGACGACGCGGGAGGAGGGAGGACGGCGACGACGACGACGACGACGACGACGCCGCAAGAGCGCTCGCGCACGCTTTTGTTGAAAATCCGTGTTGCGAAACCTTGTGTTGTTGTAGGTTTTTTGGACGCGCGATTTTGAAATCCTTCCGAAACCGATGGGTTTTGAAGAATTTCGGCGTGCGCGCGCGACGACGCGCGCGTCTGCACTTCGTCCCAATTTTGTTGCAGAGGATTCTCGCGACGGCACACGCGCAAGGGCGTTCGACAGATTTCGACATGCGCGCGCGACGCCAGTTTGGCAGCATGTTGTGAAAATCTTGAGAAAAAAAAAAAACAATGGTTTTCTTAAGATTTCGCTAGAGCTCGCGCGTAAGCTGTTTTAGCAAATCAGTGTTACGAAACCCTGTGTTTTTGAATTTTTTTTGGAAGCTCGGTTGCGAAATCCTTCCGGCACCGAAGGTTTTTGAAGGATTTCGGCATGCGCGCGCGACGACGCGCGCGTGTGCACTTCGTCCCATTTGTTGCAAGGGAGTCGTGAAAAAGTGTTATGTTAGAACAATGGCGCCGCATAGTGATTTTTTTTGTACCAGGGAACCTCAGGGGGGGGATACCGGTTGGCCTGGGACATTGCGATTTCATATTTAGGATGGACATGTGGTCAGAATCATATGTGATTTACAGGCCCGAGAGGGGAAGCGATAACGCCGGGAGGGGGGGTAGAGTCTATTCTCTTTTTAGAAAGGAGAATGTCTGGGTCCTGCGTGGAGTCCATGGAGTGCAGTGGGTGATCCGGCGTGGAGTGTATGGTTGTACTTCGTAGCTTTGCAGCAGGTCGGGGGTTGCTGCGGAGCCGTCGGGTGCGCCGTCCACCGTGGAGTTGGCAGTGGCGCTGGTTTGGCTGTCAGTGCGGTAGCCGCGACGGCAATCGGCTGGCAGTGCGGGAAGGCCTGGGCCCTCCTCTCCTCGGGGAGTGTGAAGCTATGGGTGGGCCCTCTGGCTGCTCGGTCAGCAGACTGCCAATTGGAGCACAGACTCTGGAAGCCGGGTATCCTGCCAGATGGAGCTTCTCGTCGTAGTCTAGGTTCTGGTTCAGCTCGCGTGGTTGCCGCAGCCTCCTTCCATGTTTGTCGACCGCAGTCTTGCACTCCTGGGCTAGCTTGTCGTAGTGGCTCATGTTGATCACGGAGGGGTTCCGTGGATGCCGACTTTGGCTGGTGGTTTCCGAGGGGTGGTGTCCTTGGGCGGGCTCTGGATGGGCGCGAGTTCCAGCGGCTGTATCAGCTCCATGTCCACGTTGTCTGTGCCGTCGATGCTCCGTGTGGCGATCATGTTGCCATTCTTCGTCCGTTGCATCCGTCGCGACACCTTTGTAGACTCACAGGTCCCGAATGGCGGAGGTCGTCGAGCTCAGCTGGCCATGTAGGTAGGTTGCCTGCTCCTGATCTGAGTGTGAGCTTCATTGGTGGCTCCAGTCCAAGTGGTAGCCTCAGTGATGCAGTACAGCGGTCGAGCGAGCATGTTGATTTCGTCTTGGTTGCAGCGGTTCAGCGGAACTTGGTCCCTGGTAGGGTCCCCAGGTTGTGCTTGTAGGCCGCCGTTGATTTGTGGCGTGATTTGCTGATTGTTCTCGGTGAAGATGTACACGCCGGTAGATGGGTACACCTTAGGCGATGCTTAAGAAAACATGAGTTTTCGGCCAGAGTCTCGATTATTCTTAACGTTTCAATGTAAATCTTAAGATTTTAATAGAAATGTTGGGTTTTTTTATTCAAGTTCTGAGACTATGAATCTCTTAACCCATGATGTCTTAAGCATTTCGCAGGGTGTACATCGTTGTGGACCCATTATCTCAATGACGACTCTGAGGTACATGCAGATGGTCCTCGCTTCGGATGGGGTCAGGATGTTCAAGTCTGACGCGGTACCCAGGTTGTTCAAAATCCAGTTCAGCGGCGTTGTCCATCTCCAGGAGGTCACTGTGGGCGTTGGTGCGCTCCTCCATCTCGACGGCTCTGGATTTCATGGCCTGCTTGGTGTAGGCGCTATGGAGATGTCCACTCATTCTCCTGGTGGAAGTTGTACGGTGCGGCGAGCACCAGTAGTGGAGGTTCGTTCTCGGTCAGTTGCTTTTCTTTATCCGAGGTGATGGTGATGAGCGGCTGCTCCTTACCGTCGCCCCCGTGTGCGGTCTGTTATGTGCTAGTTTCGTGTTCGTTCTTGTAGTTGATGACGTTTTGGTAGTGAGGCACCATCTGAGGTCACTGAGGCCAGTGTCGGTTCCAAAAGAGGCACTTGCCGTTGTTGAGCGCCTCCTGCATTCGTTCGTAGACTGTGGCCTGCTACTGTTCATCGGTCGCTGGTAGGTAGGCGAGTGCGGTGCGGTGCAAGTAGCAGGTTTTGGTGTAGCGGTCGACGGTCTTGGAGGCCAAGTTGACAGTTTCCCAGTAAACAGTTCTGTATGCGTATCATATTGGCAGCTGGTGGGGTGCAATTTGATTCCTTTTTAACAATCCCTCTGCAAGCCTCCGCTTTGCCCACTTCGACGCTGTTTGGAATGTACGTGAGCGCGTAGTGCGGGTCGCCGTACTTGTTGTGGTAGCCGGCATTGGAAGCCCTCAGTGGCGGTAGGTTGGGGTCTTCGAAGCGGTCGGGTGTTTTTTTTGGTCGCAGTGGGTTGCCAATCTCGGCAATTGTCTTGGTGCGCTCCGCCTTGAGGGGTGCCCTTGTAGGATGTGTGGTTGACGATGCGGATGTTGGAGGCCACTGCGAACTCCAGTGTGGTCTCCCTCGCAGCCCTCTTGGGTCCAAGGTCGCGGGGGTGCTCCATGTCTTGGTCGAGTGGCTGGTGGTCTGCAGGCCGTGGCCGTTCAAGTTAGTGTCGGGCTGTCTGTTCTCAGTGTTTTCTTGAGCTGAAGCTGCGGTATGAAGCATAGGCTGGACTGGGTAGCGATGGTGATGAGGGACGGGGGGGATCACGCTACAATATGCTGTTTGTATTGCCTTGGTATCCGCTGTCATCAGAACATTGTGCTCTCGCATGTGTCCTAGCGCATCCTGCCCTCATCCGTCTCCAAAGGGCTGGTCCTCTCGCGTGGGTACTACTTGTTCATGTCGGTCGTCTCGACGGTATTTGTTGCCCGAACCCTTGGTGCATGGGCAGGTTGGTCGAGATGCTGTTTCTGGTTGGCTGCAGCTTCCGATGCCGTAGTCGTTGTCGAGGTCAGTCTGCCGAGAGTTTCTCCCCCATGTCCTTACAGCGGCAGAAGGCATAGGATGGGGTAGACAGGCATGGTCTGAGCGTGCATTCGAGAATCGTGGACAGTCATCCAGCTGCTGAGCCGCTCAATCCGCCGCATGTCCCATTGCCGGCAGTGGGTTTTGAAGCAGATTGGAGGGCGGCGTAGGTCTTGGCTGTCCCCCATCCGCGTCCTCACGTCGGCAGCGGGCATAAGAAGGGGTGGATAGCATGGGGCTGGGGCTGAATGGGCATGACGTTGCTGTGGACAATGGGGGTAGGTGGTGGTGGGTGGAGTGGTGGCGGCGGTTATCTTCCCCATGAGGCATGTGGGCGTATCATACCCCCTCGGGCTAGGCGCTCAAGATCTGCTGCGCTGGTAGACACTAGTCTGGTGGTGGCACGTAGGTATACTCGCGTCGGCCAAGTTTGTCTTCCTTCGCAACAGAAGTGTCCGAGAAGCGCCACGATTTTCGTCTGGGGAGGGTCCTCTCGTTGCCTTCCAGGCTCCAACGTCCCGTTGCCTCCCCAGCATAGGGGTTCGCGGTGCGGAAGGATCGCGCGGGCGGGGTTTGAGAGCGTCAGCGGAGTCTTTTTTAGGTCGAAGGACCAGATGGTCCGTATGTCCCATCGCCGGTGGTGGGCTTTGAAGCAGACCAGCGGACCGACTGGAGCGGACCGACTGGAGTTGGCGCGGGGCTGTCCATGTCCTGGCGCCGGCAGCAGGCATAAGATGCATGGTAAAGCATGGGCAGTGCGTGGCGGCGCTATTCATTGGCATGGCCTTGTGATGCTCATAGATCTGACACCGTCGCTGAAGTTACGACATGCTGGATGGTGGCTGGGTGAGGGTCTGAGCCGGAGGGGGTGGGAGTTGCGGGACCCTTTCGCCACACAGGGGCCTTACGGTCGGGTTGACCCAAGAGGGGGTCCAGCGACAAAGGGGTGGTGCAATAGATTTGGTGCAATAGATTCGTGGGATTGCAATGCACGTGGGGCGTGCAATATATTCCGGGGCCCAGTGTAGCACATCAGTTGCAATACAATGCAATACACTTTCGGGGCAAGACGTTTGCAACACAATTGCCTCTAATCTATTGCACAACTCTTTTTCAGCTGGACCCCCTTTTGGGTCGACCAAATACGGAAAAGGCACTTTCCTTTCCTTTCTTCTCGGGTTAGGCGTTCAAGAACTGTTGTGTCGGTGGTCATTTGTCTGGTGGCATGTGAGATCGTGCCACCCGACTGGTGACTAATTCTCGTCCTCCTTCTCGTCATATGTGCAACCCCCTTTTACTGATTGCGCGCCACACGATGTTGCCATTTCGGGTACCAAGGGTATTTGGGACACCCATGGCGCAAGTATGGCGCCTGCGCGCCTAGCTTGTCCCCCCCCCCTTTCCGCCCTTTCCGCCCCTCCATTTCTCCCTCCATTCCTGCCCCCCGGTCTATAAGGGACGGCGCCCCTGGCGACTTGACCGCAACGGCATGGCAATTGAACACGATTTCTGGGTTAGCACATGTTCCGATGCCCCGTGCGAGCAAGTTCTGCGACGCACAAGGTTCCACCAAACCCTCGCTCCCACCCTGTCCCGTCCCCCTTCCTCTCCCCCTCCCACCTTCCCCGTCCGCTCCCCCTCCCCCCCTCTTGTTCGTTCTCTCCCATTCTTCCTCCTTCCTCTTCCATCCTGACTCGGGTAGGGATGCCCTTCAACGATAAACTTTAACGGGCGTGGGCGGCAGGGGTGACTTGTAAGGATTATTCGGTCCGCACCCCCCTTGGTCAGCGTTTCAGGTGCGACGACAAGCACTTGCGCTTGCATTGGCGGGCTACCGTTGCCACTGCGGTCACCAGCACCGCATGAAGAATGCCTCCATGCTGCCTATTGCGCGCAAGTGTGAGTGCATCTAGGCAACCAGAAGAGCACCTAGAGTTAGGATTGGCGTTGTGCGCCCTTTAGCTGTAATGAAAGAGCACGTCAGCTTACAAACGTTCAGTTTCACAATGAACGTTAATATTCGACCCGCTACGAAGATTGTGGATCGCTCCTTCGTTTCGGTTTGCTTCGTTCTTTACACGATGCATTGCGAGCTTGGCTCCAGTGGACTCGGCGAGCACGCGAACTGGGTAAGCAGACGCTGGGCGGCAGCTGAGCGAACTGTGCAACACAAAGGAGGTGGGAGAGGGTAAGGCGCGGCCGCGGAGGATGAAAAGGAAAGGCGCAGCTCCGGGGGCACACGCAGCCGTCGTTGGGGTTCATGTGTATCGGGGGCTCGCTCGCCGCTCAGATCCGAGGAGCAGGTTGGAGAATCCAAGGCTCCAGGAAGAAAGGACCGGACAAGAGGAGGAGGAGAAAGGGGGGGCGAGTAGGAAGAGGAGGAGGAGGACAACTAAAGATCTGCCGCTCGAAATTCGAGAAGAGGAGGGGGATGAGGATGAAGAGGAGGACGCGGAGGGGGAACGAGAGAAAGGGAATATATAGCAATCCCATGCCACTGAGCATCCCGTCGATACGGCTCAATTGATACGGTGGCGCCATCAGGGAAGACCCTCGTAATAGCGCAAGGAACCTCGTGTTGTCACCGACGAACCGGGCCGCGGTCCTGCTCAATCCCGATTTGGAGAATTTGCATGGTAACGGGGCGGGGCCATGACAAGACCCACGCAGGGAATACCGACTACACGCCAAGAGTGGTAGAACACATGCTGGTTGATTTCCGAGGTAATGGCCTATGTGCAGATCAGCCGGCGGGCAGTGACTTCGCCAGGGCCGCTTCCCAAGCTAACCGCGAAGGGATCGCAAATTGAACGGGTGAACAGGAGTAGGCAGGCAACAGCGTGATGTCCACTGATCTTGTTCTGGCAATGGTGCAGATGTTCGGCAAATCGAACGCACCTTTGCGGATAAACGGGAATCGTAGGTTGATGCACGAGGGGGAAGCGACAACGACTATGGATCATTTTAGAATCCCGCAACAAGTATGAAGACAACACAGATTCCAGCAACGTGCCCGCCAAAGTCTCACACGAAGCAAGCCCGGGCAGGATTCGAAGCAGGACCACAATCGTTTTGTCATGAGCCAGTGGCAGCTCAAGCATTGAAGAACTTACCGGTGACCGATCGAAGTTGTTCTCAAGGGGTGACAGTTTGTTGATCGCGCTTGCGCAACTGAGCAACAGCACTGGAAAAAAACGCCGAAAACATTGAATGCGATCTTGTAAGCCATGGACTGGGCGGTGCCATGCCCGAGCGAGGAAGGTGATGAAATCAGCTTGTGCGGCCGATAATTAACTGCAGTTGAATATAGAAGCAGCAATGGCACGGCCGCTGCAAAGATGACAGCAACGAATACAACGCCTGAAGGGGACGGTGGGATCAATAATTTGCACGAAAATTTCTGGCACATCTGAACTGAAGAACTGGGGGCCGCGGCCCCCTGGGGTGAGCTGCGTAGGTGACGCGAAGGCAAATGCATGACATATTCTTGGATAGGTATACAAATAGTACTCGGCAGTAAAAACTGTAAACATGTTCGCCGAAATCAGCTTGGCAGTGGACCCGGACAAATCAAACAATGCGGGTGGCAACTCGTCAAAGCTTGAGCAGCCGAAGGCCCTTCTCATGACGTTTTTGAAATGCGAGCTGCGATGGGTGCCACCGCTGCCGGTCTGCACTGCCGCTCCGAAGATCAGCGCGGCCTTCGACGGCGAATGGCGCGACGACTTGCAGCAGGACTGCTGTGAGAAATCCAGTGTCAGTCAGAACTACACAGCATCGTCAACAACGCGCTCCAGACGCGAGGGCTTGGCCCGCGCGAGTAGCACGCGCGCCGAGTCTAGCAACGGCGACGCGAGGGGCATCGGCGGGGCGGGCTAAACAGGCGACCGGTCACGCCGCGGATCGGGGGGCGGGGCGAGCCGGAATTGGGGGGCGCGACGAACACAGACACCAGAGGTCAGGCAAAAATGGCGACGCCCATCATTGGGGCGCAGGACGCGTTCATGAGCAAGGAAGCGCACTCGCAGTAGGCGCGTCCACGTGGAAAAAGGGGGTCATTTTTTGCGCGCGCGGACACCGGGGGCACGCGGCCAAACATTACCACGACGCACAATTATGGAAGTCACCTGGGCCCGCGCTCTGCCAGGATACTCCACGCGCGGAGGCAGGGGCCGCGCGCCCGCGAGCGCAACAGATCGCCGCGGACGTGGACAGACAGGTCTCTCGGCAGCCAACTGCCCGAAGAGCAGCGAGCAGCATGGGGCGCCTTCTCGCGCACTGTGCCAGCCATAGCTACCTTGGACCTTCCCAAATGAGCTCCACGGGCACAAGGCGCTCGAAAGCGCAACGCCCGAGTGAGACATCAATTGCGGCGAGCGCGGCGCGCGTGGGGCGCGGCTATTTGCGCGGGCGCGAAGGGCGCCGCGCCCCCCCCGACGTCGCGGAGTCGCCAGCCCCGGAATTCAGTTGACAGGCGAAGCGATAGAGGGCGGCAGTGGGCAGATCTGCGCGGCGAAGCTTTTATTGCCGAAATGAATTGCACGACGAGCGAGGTAGATGCGGCGCCGCAATATGGCTCAGCATCGAGCATTGAGGCAGTCGCGATATACGCGGACTCGGGCGCGCGCAAAACTGCCGGGCCGCCTTGCTCGGGAGCGCCCCCCCCCCCCCCCCCCCCCCAGCGAGGCCGACGCGGGCCGGGGCCGGTGGGGCCGCCGTCAGGGGCTGCAGTCAAAGCGCGCCATGTTAGGCGGCCGAAGAAAAACCCTTGGATCGGCGCGACGCGGCGGCGGGAGCAGGCCGAAACGGGCGCGACAGACCCCGCGGCAACCTGGAACGCATTGTCGGGGGGGGGGGGCCCAGATCCACCTGCTTCGCATGTCCCGCCGGCCCACAGCCTGGGCCCCCACTGGCGAAGGGGGCGAGGCAAGTCAGCATGGTCAAGAGGCAAAGACGTCGGATAGATGCTCCGCGGCAGGACGTCCTTCAGTTTTCAGGAATGTCAATTTCTCAGCCGCCCCCGCAAGTCCCCCCGCACACCGCGGAGAGAGCCAGGCGCGCGACGGCGGAGAGGGCGAGTGAGGGAGCGACCCCGAGAGCAAGAGGGCGACGTCGCGGACGCGATCATCAGTGGAGGAGTTGGGACCGTCACAGGGTGGGTGCGCTACCCTTTTCCTAGCCGCGTCGCGGCGCGACTGCGCCGCGAGTGCCGCCCGCCGCGCGCGAGGTGGCGACGCGCGGTAGGCGACGCGCGCGATGTGCGCGATCGAAGAATTCAAGACGGGGCACCAGTCGTCTCTGTCGGCCACGCGTGGGCAGAAGGCGCGATGCCATGCCAATCCAAGAGGAGAGCGACGCGCGAAAACCACCCCGGCAACGCATTGCGCGCGCAAAGTGGACGGGGGGTCGGCCACGACGCGGAAAAACGTCAAAGAGTTGTTCAGTCAAGGAAGTCGCCTTTGCAGGGCGCCGAGGAGAACGTCGAAAAGTGGCGGCGGGCGGCGGGCCCCCATTTGCAGCCGCGGAACATCCAGTCAGAGCGGCGCCGCGACATCCGGCGGGCGTCTAAATCTTCTCAGGTGGTGGCCCAGGAGCAAACGACGAGGTGAGACGAGCCATCGGGGCTGTTCAGGGATGGACCGGGATGGCGCACAGTGCGATCGAAGAAGAATGCGCGACTAATTCCGTTGGGGGCCATCGACCGATCTCTTGGCTGGCGCGGCGCGCCTCGTCGCGAATCAACGGATGATGGAGCGACGGAGGCGCCGCAGACGAAGGTTCGAACGAGCGCCGTCTGAACTCGGGGATTGCGCGACGCACCCTGGGGCCCAAACCATATTGCTCCACGCGTGGGGCCCCGATGGAAAGCGGGAGTTCCCCTGGGAAGATCTTTCAAAAGTCAGGACTTTACGGTCGGCGCAAAGATGGGGGCAGCGAGGGCCATGGAGCGCCGCGAGGGGCGCCGAACTTGAGGTGCCCCCGCGAGCGAATGCATGAGATGATAGGGCTGCCCTGGCAACGCGACCCGAACGCAACCAGCGGACGAGCGCAGACAAGGCACATTGCATGCGCGCGGGCCTTGCGCGCCGAGTTTAGATGGCACCGAGACGAAGCCTTCGCCAGTGAAGAGAGATTGATGGGGACGGACGAATACGTCAGAATGGGGCCCGCGCCCGCCTGTCACGGGCGCAGAGCCGCGGGCGGAGGTGGCCCGACGCGCGCGCCCTGCAGCCTTGCTCGCACAGGTCGAGTAATGCTATGAAGTGGAACGGCTGCAGACGCGAAAAAAGCGCGGGACGCGAGCCCGTCTTGATGCGCCCCACCAAAGATTTGACGCGGCAGCAAGATCATTGTCTGACATAGAGCAGGCGGCAGAGGGCCCGCGACGCAGGAGGGCCAGGGTCGGCGAGCCAAGCGCGACAGCCTGCCGCGCAGGTAACCACTGGACAAGACGCGGCAACATACTGGTAGGAACGCCCCGCGCCCCGTGACCTGGTGCGTTGCAGCCGTTTCGCGCATTTGGCCCAAAGCGGCGCTTGGGGTCGCTGGGCCCGCGTGAGATTCAGACGGGCAAACGCGGCGCGATCGCGAACGGAGGGCGCACCAGAAGCCACCCCACAGGGGAAGTTGGCCTGGCGAGCCCACCCCCTGCCAACTAATAAACTAACGATGACCCTTGCAGTCGCCTGAAGAAGAACGCCAAATGGAAAAGCCAAGGCGAGTCGGAGACGATGGAGAGAAATTGATCGGTTGTTTGGAATGGATTTGTCTGATATGGGAGTGATGTTGAAAGCCGCAGATTGGGTAGTAGATCGGGATGGTGAAAACAGACCCTCGGAAGCCAACGGGGGCTGGAAAATCGCCAGAGCACGCGGTGTTTTTTTTTTCTTATGTTTTCTATATAAAAAACTGTGCCCAAGCGCGCGGGCGGAGCTTGCTACATAAATGGCCGACATAAACGGTCGACGAGAGGGGAGTTTGCAACGCCTTGCCCAAGCCTTAGAGGGCGACTTACATGGTGGACAGGGTGGGAGCGATACCGCGCTTGGCAACGGACCGCACCACCCACTCCGCCCTTGCAGCTTCAACGTGGAACAGATGAAGAGGAATCAGAGAAGATGGCCGGAGGCAAAGCAGACGCGTCGCCGGTCGCGAGTCCGACGCGCGCGGCATTCAGAGGGGCAGCGAGATCCAACGCGAAGACGCAAGATGGGCAT